TGGGTCTTCAGATCACGCCCGAACGATCGTCTGCCGTTTTAGACGTATTGCTGTGGGTTTACCCTACCTACACTAGTAGCTAGAGTTGCCGTGGGAATTACTACAGCACATTTTATCCTTTCCAGAACGCGAACCGATAAACGCTGCCCTTGATAACTCATCAAGGAAAATAACCACGTATTCGGAATGGAAGACACGAGTCCTGGCGGAGTTTCGTCGAATGGAAGCTGAGAGGTGTGTTGATTGGTAAATATGAGGCGGGTATAGCGACTCATCATTTTGGCGATGAATTGTCACACGAAAAGTTGAGCAACTTATCCGGTCGTTATCCGAAATTCTGGAAGGATTACATGCTCGAAATCAATCACTCAGAAATCTTCCATCACAACAACCAAGCTACCCCAGCGACGGCGGCAACACTAGCTCCTGACGCAGTGAAGTTCCGACAGCCTACCAATTATACTAGACAACCAGAACCCTGACAGGCGCTACGATGACGCAGCACACACGAAGTCGCTGCGCAATGCGCTGGACATCAAGCTGTCTAACCTGTCAACCCCTGCGGAGCTGTTCGATCGACGCCGCCATTGGTCCGATGGGGATCGTGCGAGAGCCACTCGAGTCTCCTCGTCGGGGTCGGAAGTTTCGTCGTGCTCAGAGGCTCTTGAGGTTCCTCTTCTTTTTTTTTCTTCCTGGTCGGCGCCGACATCTTGGATCTGAGGAAGCGCTTGACGTGGCCGTCATCGGCATGGCCACCACCGTCGTAGGGGACTTCGTCCTCGCTGGTCTGACCATCCAAGACCTCGCGATCGCGGGTAGGAGGACAATCCCCGAGTGGTGCAGGGCCACCAGTACCACCAGACGGCCCGATCACTGGAGTGGAAGGACCATGAAAGTTTTTTTTTGGCAGGCGGCTGGCCTGCCGTGGGAGAGACTGATCGGCTACGACCTCGTTTGCTCGCGCCAGGTTTTGATCGACGGGTGCGGAGGCAATCCGCCGCCTCTGCCAACAGTGTGGCGGTCTGATCGAGGTAGGCATCGGAGCCCATCTGGGAGTTTTGTAAACCAGATAAACCCTCCTGAGCCTCGTCACACCTATCCTTCAGCTCCCGGTTCTCCTGAATTAGGCGATCCAGATCACGACCTGGAAGAACAAGAATAACATAGATCGAGCAAGTTAAGTGGAGACCGATCAAGAGCAAAGACGGACTGCAGATGTAACTTACGCAAGTAACGGGTTTTTCCAAATACAAGTCCTGCGCGTATTAGAAGTCCGGCCAGGTATCCTGACTACCTTCAGAAATAGAAGTCCGGCTTCAATTAAAAGTCCGCTCTATTATTTACCGTAGTTGAAATTAAGGGAGCTTGTCTTCAACCTCAGTTTTTACCTTATATTCACTGGCAGACGCGATAGCTCACTTTGAAAGCCTCACCATGGCAACCAGGCGCAACTCTGTCAGCGTGTGGAAAAAGACAGAAGTTATCGACTGGATTGATTCAGAAGGAGATGGCATCCCCACCCCGTGCTGCCGCGCACTTTCGTTCACTTGGCCGAAACCTCGACCCTGCCGCGGCTCTTCATTGGTGGAGGCAGCGAGATGAGATCTGGCCAGTACAATCAACACAAATGCGAGTTACCGGCGGAGGAAGAAAGCCGGCGCGGGAGATCCTAGAAGATCTTCTAGGGTCCATCGTTCTCCGTCGTCTGAAGAAGCAGAATGTTGCCCAAGATTGGATTGCGTCTCAGGCGCTCCAGCTATACTGCGAGATTGACGATGGACCAACTCGTCTCTTCGAAGCATCGCCTAAGTGGGTCAGCGGCTTCATGAAACGGAATGATCTCTCTCGCTTCGTCACCGAACTAACCTGACAACACTATGGCGAAGTGGTTCTGCGAAAATTGCTGATCGCTGAGGTCCTCTTGCACACTGCGCCCGAACTGCCGACTAACGGAGGGGGTACTCCGATCTTCCGTGAAGTTGTAATGCTCACCTTGTGT